CCCGGCTATTTTTTGGTTGCAGCCGTCATTGTTGTTTGGCGGGTCCGGGCTGGGGACTCGAACCCGCCACCTTAGGTGTACGTGGCTGGCGCCCTAGCTGGTTGAGCTATAGGCGCCGAGCCTGATGAGTCTTTTCTTGATGCGCCTTAGCTTACCAACTAAGGTTCCATTATCTTCTCCTCTTTCCTAAATGCCTGTTCTTCAGTCTCGCTGCTGATTCCTCCTTTTCCAGCCTTTAAATGCTGGAGTTCCCCAAGCTTCAAATCTTACAATTTGTTCTGCTCTCTTTCTCTAGCCGAGGCAATCCCATTCACATATTCAGCTGAATGAAACTCACCTTTGAATCTCTAGCCCATACATTTCCTCAAACCCTAGACTCACACCTAATCGCCTACTGTGTATAGTACTGCCTATATCTAAAACTAAACTCCTAGGCACGGTGGCTCACGCCTGGAATCCTAGCACTTTGTGGGGTTGAGATTGCTGTCTCCCAAGGGTGACAAAGTGAGACACTGCCTCAAAAAATAAAATTAAACTCCCTTTTAAGCTGATCTTGCCCTTTCATCCAGGATGGAGGGCAGTGGTGTAGTCATAGTTGGTTGAAGCCACCAACTCCTGAGCTGAAGCAATCCTGCCTCAGCCTCCCAGGTGGCTGTGTTTATAGGCACACACCACCATACCTGGCTTTTTTTTTTCCCCAGAGACAAAGTCTCACAGTATTGCCCAGACTAGTCTCAAACTCCTAGTCTCAAGCAATTTAACCACCTCAGCTTCCCAAAATGCTAGGATTACAGGCATGAGCCACTATCCCTGGCTCTAAACTAAACTCTTAGTCTTTTTACCCCAAACAAGTCCTGCTAAGGTCTTCCCAATCTTACAAAATGATTTTTTTTAGGCAGAGTCTTGCTATGTTGCCCGGTAGAGTGCTGTGATATCACAGCTCACGGCAACCTCAAACTCTTGGGCTTAAGCAATTCTCTTGCCAACCTCCAAGTAGCTGGGACTACAGGTGCCCATCACAATGCCCAGCTATTGTTTTGTTGTAGTTGTCATTGTTTTATTAGCAGGCGCAGGCTGGGTGTATGTGTCTGGCGCCCTACCACTGATCTATGGGTGCCAAGCCTGTTTTCTGTTTCTTTGTGTTTGTTTTAAGAAAATGACTTTTCAACCTCTGGTTGAGGTTAAAAACTTTGGAGTCATCTTTGAGACTTTCTTACCTCCCATGGACTCTATCAGCAAATCTTGCTAACATTATCTTCAAAATATATTCAGAATCTGATTTGTTCCCCACCTCTGTCAGAGTCCCTGTGTCCAAACTACCATCATCTTACACCAGGACCATGGCATAAGCCTTCTAGCTGAGCTTCAGCTTCTACCCCTGCTTCCACATTGTCTGCTCTCTCGTACAGCAGAGTAATTCCTTTAAAAGTCATATAGTATCATTACAATCTTAAAACCCACAAGTGGCTTCCCATCTCAGAAGAAAAGCCAAACTTCTAACCATGATCCACAAGGGCCTATATAAACTGACCCATCCCTATTACCTCTGACTTCTTACCCCATGACTTTCTACTTATTCTTTTCCCTGTTGCTCCAGGATACCGAGCATGTCTCTGCCTCAGGACCTCTGCAATACTGTCCCTCTGCCTGAAATGCTCTTGCCCTTAGTACCTGTTTGGCTCACACTATCACTTCTTCAGGGTCACTGCTTAAATCTCACCTTGTTAGATCTTTACTGAGAACTCCATATGATGGAGCTCTACCACTGTCTCCCATACCCTATTCTATTTTTCTTAAATCATGTGCTATATGTATATTTTGTTCATTAGTTACCTTCTGCAAGAATGAAAGCTTCATATAACATATTGTAAACATTTGTTGAATAAAAGGATATTTGCCTGCAAAAACATACACAAAGAAAATAGCAAAATGTTGAAGTCTCAAGCAGGAAAGACATATGGTTCTATTTACTTGTTTTCCAAATGAATGAAAGAATTATAAGCCAGTGCTTCACAGATAAAATGTGAAGA